TGAGACTTCTGGTTGTTATTCCTGGTACATTTTCTTAAGTTTTAATATCAAAATAGAAAGACTGTATTAAGGGTACCCTCCGCTCCCCCTCTTTTTGGGCTCATCGCAGCAGAAATACTGTCCAAAGTAAACTAATTAAGATCAAGATTCGGTATTTTGAGGATAAATCAGAAACTTCTTTCATCCTTTCTTTTTGATTTCAAATCTTTACCTGTTACTGTTCTAAAGATTTTCAGAAAACCTGATTTTTCATTCGGCCACGTTACAATCCTGCGAAAAAATGATTACATCAAGCTGAAATTTTTACCAGAGATACTTTAGACCCTATCTCAAGTGCTAAATTGTTTTTAAGCATTTTCAATTTCAACTTTCAGCGTGAGAAGATTTTTAAAATCGAAAGGTGGCTTTTTACATACTTTTAACATAAGGAATATCTCAAAAAAGAAAAGAAAAGTTAGAACCTAAAGTAGGGCCCAAAGTATCTATGCTAAAAATTTCTTTTTCAATATTCTCTCTTCAGTATGTATTTCAGCTCAATCAGACATCAGTTTCCCGGGTTTCCAAGGGGGTCAAAAAAGACGGAATACCTTAAAGAGGGACGCACAACTGGCTGTTTCTATGGAAAAAAACTTCTTCCTTAAATGTCTATTGTCATTTCTCAAAATTGAGTTGGAAATACGACACTTATACTAATTGAAACAGTCTAAAATTAGACAGTATAAATATAGAATTATTCACACACACTAATGAACTGTTCTTGTCAAAGTTCGTCTCTGGTCAAATATGTAAAAGGTTTTGAAGAAATATGGATAGTAATAGTTGAAGAAACTAGCAAAAGAAGAGCCTCTGAGTTGATGATACTTTGCTCTATAATTGCGGATAAATTTCAGAATTTAAAGAAAAAAGGACGAAGAAGAATTGTCTTAGTACTCACTAATTTTGTAAATTTCCATTGTGTTCTATATCGATTGTGAGTATAACTAACGAGTTGAACTTGATGCAATTTAGACAATTTTGTTTTCATACAGGAAGGTAGTCTTGTAGACTGCACATATTGTTCACGTATTCAAATCTCTGACTTTTCTTAAAGCAAAAAATTGATTTTAAAACTAGTTTATCAAGTTCAAACAAAGCAAGTTTAAAAATCAAAATTAGCCAACCTATTAAATGCTTGTTTCGAGACAAGTGAATATTATGTAGAAAAATGAGTTTTCTCTAGTGAACAGTAGCAGTAGATAAAACCATTTAGCCATGTTTTTTCGACTATGAGTACTCATATTATTAGTTCTTTTCAAATTTAACAATACACAGAAGTAGATCTCAACTAGATTCTATTTTTGTATGACATTAAGGCTACCTAAATTATCTAATTACGTTCAAGCTGAAGTGTAAAATTCATTTTTAATATTCTAATTTGAAAATTAGATCCTCATCAAAACCTTAGAATATTTTATTATTATAAAAAAATTTAAAAAACTTTGCCAATTAAAATCGATTATTAATCTGAATATTGCATACTTAACATAATAGTCTTTGAGTTTAAATAGTCTTGAAAAAGTTTTACACATTTTTTTTTAATCGAAAAATTATTTGACAGAAATTATATGAAAAAATTGTTTGAAGAATTGTTGAGTACAAGATAATTGACTATGAAAAATCTCAATTTTCAATTGATTTTAAAAGCTTTTTAAAAAGTTTTCAATTTGATGATATATATTTTATATCTTCTTTTTCTCCAAATAGTCAGTTTTTAATTGATCACAATATTTGTGAACGATTCTTTATCGTTTAATATATCTTAATCTAACAGAGTGAATATAAGAGATGGAAAAACAAATTCTTGAAGTGATAGAAGAAAAAAAAAACAATTTTCATATTTCTTCTTATCGCAGTCGGAAGTTCTTTATTTTATATATGCGTTTTTTTTTTTTTTTTTTCTTCTTCTTCTACTAGTAAATATATTATAGAAGAATATTACTTTATATTTTTGACATAGATTATTTTTTTCTCTTGTCGTTGTTCTATAGATCGGATTAGTTATTTCGTTTTATGAATGTATGTATGTACTGTACTAACATGAGATATATCAAGAAACAACAAAAAAAAAAAAAAGCGACTGAGTTTTCTCTCTTATATTTTGTGCTATTTTATTATCGAGAGTTTTTGTAGATAGAGTGATAGAAATAGAACGATATATTGGACTCGAATTGTAGATGTTCATAGATGACAGGTAAATAGCTATTCCTGTCAGAATTTTTATTTAACAGAGAAACTCAAAGGTAATTTTTCTCTTCCATCTGTTAAAATTTGGAACAAAGAATCATTTTTTTTTTGAACGAACAATTGTTAACAAACAATATTGATTATTATTAGATTTCAAAGTAAGTTCTAATTTTATAGTAAAAAAAAAAATGTATAATTTTGAAATATCTTCAACGTACTTGAATAGTTTTATAGTATAATGAAAAATAGAACATAGATTTATTACTCTCTATTTGAATTAGACTTGAAAAAAATTTCAATGTGAGATAAATTTATCTAAAATGTTTTTTTAATGAGAAATCATTAGAAAATCTTTATTTTACAGTAGAATTTTGAGACAAAACAACAAATAACACCATTCTTTTATTTTATTTCATCGTTTTACTTCAATTTCTCTATGTGTGATAGAACAAAACGAAAAAAGTTATCTTTTTTTGTATCTAGAAGAAAATACGTTTGATTTATTCACGACAATCTTCTGACTATGATAACGATGTATATAAACAGACTATTCATGTTATACAGGGAAATTTTGTTTGTCATTTTTTTTCTTATCTCATATTGTACTTGTCATATATGTGTAGTGGAAGGTATTGCTCATGAATTTTCATCTAGAAACAAGAGCTTGGACTTTTTTTCTTTCAGAAAATCTTTATGAATGATGCTGTTACATCAATTTAGGCAAGTTTTCTAATCAGATAGATAGACAGTTGTCTTTTCTGAATGATGTTTGATAGTAAATATAAGTGAGATTATTAGATATTTGACTACTCATTTTAGTTAGAACAGACGAATTGATTATCGTTAAACTTGACAAATATTTTTAATTGAAATATAAATAGTTGTTCTCTTTCTCTCATTTCATATTTTGACACGCGTTCTGACGTAAAGAAATGACATATATAGATTTTCATCTATTATCAGTTGTTCGTATCAATTAACAACTTTATTTAGTTGAATATTTACAATAAGGTGTTGTTATTGGGTTTTTTTCTAATAAAGATTCCATCTACGAAAGTAGACACGAAAAATGATTATAATCTGATTGTTTTTGACACGATTGTAATCAGACAAAAAGGAAAAAAACAAAAAACAACGTTTATTTTTATTAGTTTGAAGGATTATATAATAAACGTTGTTTTTAAAGAAGAAAAAAAAATGTTCGTTTAGTCATTACGGTTAGGTAATAAAACAATATTATTCCTGATTAGTGATTTTCTTTTTTTTCTTTATTTTGAAACGTTATGCACAAATTTAATTTCCATGAACACAACACACAACATACAAGAATTCTCAAAAGTTATTAATTATTATTTTTTGATTGCAGAAGAAGAGAATGTAGATGTCGATATTTATATCTTAATAGTTTTATGAATTTAGAGTTGAAAGATATATCAAAAAAAGACAAAACCCTAGAAATAATGATACAACATTGGTAAATATGCTAGACTAAATTAGAGATCGAGCACATTTTTTACACAAGTTATAAGAGTGCGTAGCAAAGTTTGAGTTAACCTATGATTCAATTAGTCTGTTTGTCGTATCTCATTAAAAAGCTGTTAATACAAAAGAACAGAACATCAAAATTAAATATATATTGATGTCAACATTTCTTCAACTGATAGATAAAGAAATCTGTCAATTCTAAATAAATAAAGCTAAAAAGGCTATTTGTGCTTCCTTTTTATATTCGCATGAAAAATCATCAATTCATGTTTTAGTTAAATGTTAATAGTTTAACACATCAGCACATATACGTATGATCGATTTTTGAGTTGAAATAGAGATTAGGATAGACCGGAAAGAATGTAAAACACAAAACAACATGACAAGTCGAATACTAAACCTATGAATTAAAGATTAGGATAATTTTTTCTTATACACGCAAGCCAAGTAAATACAAGATGGGCATAATATAATATTGTCTTTGATGTTGAATTAAGAATTGATGATATGTTTTATAGGTTAAAAGTTGATTTTTTTAAGTGAAAAAAATCAAAATTTTGTTATATTTTCTATAATCTCTGATAATAGAAATCTAAACAATTACAAAACTATTCAGATGAAAGTATGTTTTTTTTTCGCGCTCTTTCCTAATTTTAGCAATAAAAAAAAAAGAAGATGAGACTTTTCGTGCGACTAACATGTTGACTTTGAGCTTCCGTCCATCTCAATCAACTAGTCGACATTATTTCTATACATATTTGAAGAAGAATCTTTTTTCTTGTTTACATTCTAAAAGTCATCCTTTTAAAAATTTTATCATTCTCATTGTGTAAATTGTTATGACACAAATTTCATTAAAAGAATAAGACGATATTTCCTTATATTCTTTCATTAGAGAAAAATCTTGTTTTTTGGTCTCTTATTTATTTCTAAAGATGAGAAAAAAAGACTTTAGCGGCAGACTAAATAAGTAATTTCCGTTTATTCTAGAAACTATACTAATGACGTCTTAGAGACCCGCAGCTATTTATAAGAAGAAAAAAAGTTACGAACGAATAGGGTTTAAATTGACCTGCTTGTGTTGTCATATTAGATATTGATAGAGACAGTAGCATTATTTTTGTAACACTGAAAGTTTATTTATGTTTTTTGATATGTGTTTTGATTATTTATGTGTGTGTGTGTGTGTGTTCATGTCTCCTTGATATTCTTATTCTTTTTTTTTTTTGCTTTTTAGTATATATCAAGAAAACAGATCTATTACAGTCTCATAAGTGAGTTATTTTTTGAATATGGCGGGTTCGTCTGCAGCCACGCCAAAATTAGTTGTTTCTGGAGAATTTAATCAAAAACCATTATCTGGTCCATCATCATCTGAACAATTTCAAAAAAAAACAATATCAGCAGCTGTAGCCTCTAGTAATCAAAAGAAATTAACAAAAATTTTATCGACTCAAACAAGTTTTGAAAGACATCCACAATATCCTATATCAAAACGTTTTTCAATTGATGCTGATCCATCATGCGTTATTTTAAATCAACAATCATCGTCAGATACGTCCAATCATACATCTACATCTCTTTCGCAAACACACAATAATCATCATTCGTTTGAACAACAACAATCAGATGAACAACATCAGAAGACAGGTGATAAATCGCCAACTGGTACAAGAAGTCCAATTCGTTCACCATCATTTATGAAAAAATCTGATAGTTTTCTTGAAATACCATATGAAAAAGGAGAAATTGTTGATCTCATTAAATTAGCTGATGATCCAAATGCCATTTCTCATTTGACCGATGATGGTCAAGAAGTTTTAATTGAACATGGAACGACAAATTAGTGAAGATAAAAATACTGTTGACAATGATGTTAATCAATATTGTTTGTTGTTTTTGTAAATGAATATTTTTTTTTGTTTAGTATTGTACGTGATGCTGTGATGTAAATGCTTTCGACGTTTTTCTCTCTCATTGCCCTGCTGTGTATTCATCGTATATATCTATATGTTTTTTCAAAACTCAATCTTCCTCTATTTATAATTGTATTGTATTCGCTTTCATTTTTACGTTTTTGTTGAAAAATTTCTCTTTTTCCAATGTGAAAGCAGTATAAATAAATTTATCTCTAGAATGAGATTTTAATCAGATTTTTGATTATGGCACAGAGATGTTGAATGAGTGATGTCATGCTGAGTTGTGCTCTCGATGAACTTAACATAACAGAAGGACAAAATACTATTTATATAGTTCGTCCTATAAGAAATGATTCGCAGAGATAGTTAAATACAAAGGAATAGATAATGAAAGTATTTTATGAGTATCAATAACTGATCAATTATTACATCTATAGATTAGTTACTTAGCAACAAATATTAGGTTAAACATGCTGTTCATTATTCAAGTGGGAAAATTTGTCGAACAGCTGTGAACGATTATATATAATATATACATTCCTCAATAATGATAGAACCAGTTCACAACTACTAGCTCAGAAATGATTTAAGCTATTGTTTTACCATGTTGATCCTTTCTAAAGCAAAAAATGACGTATCAACTGCACAACTTTTATTCTAGCCAATCATACTCTAAAATCAAGTTCTCAGAGACTCCTCTCAAAGCTTTCTAGAAGAAAATTCAGCGGAATTACCAGAAAATTTCTCTAGTCTTAGACACCTACATATTCTCTCGAAAATCTATTCATATTCATTCATCGCTTTGTTTCATTATTTTTGCATGGTATTTAAGAACTACCACACTTTTTCTCAGTGCAGTGGATAATCACTAATTTGTAAGCACAGTTACTTGTCGTTTGATAAAGGCCAGTACGATGATGATACGTACTAATTTTAAATCATAAAAATCAAAAAAAAATATGATGTAGTTCAGGTTCGAGCACTCAACTTTCGATTTTATGCACTAGGTTTCTCGAAACTCTTCTAAAGCTTTCTGAGTGCTATAGTGAATTATTTATCGGATTTCGAGTTATACCTGTGGTGCATTGGAGCGTTTTTGAGAATTCTCCACCATAGTATTTCCTTGATTTTACTCTAAGATCTTATAAAATGGTTGTCTGCCTGTGTGTGAAAAATACCGAAAAATTGCTGCCAGATATCCCATCGATAAGCCAATCACAAGAGAAGAACATTTTTTTTCGCACGAGCGAGAAAATATTCAAGAGATGACTGAAAAAGCTAAGCAAACTTTTTCTATAGTTGGGAGATAGATATCACCAGAAACCAGCCTCAATTTAATAATATCAAAAAAGTTGTCTACGGATAATAAAACTTGCAAAATATAGATGATCTATCATAGCAAACCGATCAGAAACAGAGTAAAAATAAAAAAATAACTAGTGTTTATTTCGAATTGCTCGAGAGTTATCAAAGGTCCATGACCTGTAATATCGATGATTCAGACAAGAATAAAAAGAGATAGGGAAACAAAAAAAGAAAATAAATAAAATAAATAAATAAAACTAAAAATAATAACAGAAGTAAACAAAAGAAAAGAAAAAGAGACTAGAATATGCAACGAGGATATAAAAGTAACAATAAAAGATAGACACAAATAAAATAACTCTAGAGAAACAACCAATACCAGTTGATTATGACTAGGAACACGGCTGATATTTTTCTGTAAGAGATACTGAACTAGTGCCTTTTTGAAAGACGCTAATGAAGAAAAACAAATAACTGACTCAGGAAGTTTATTCTAGTCAGTAATAGTTGAATAGTAAAAAGAAGAGAAAACTGTTTGAGAAGAAAAACCATCGACAGAGGTTGGAATGCGAACATATTTAGAATGATGACAGCGTGAGGAAGAGTAATGAGGACGATGAATAGAGTAAAAGATAGAAAGAAGACTAAGACGATGATAAATTTTGAAAAACTGCATTAGTCGAAAATATTTTGACGTTTGAAAGAGAAAGTTGTGACACAAGTAAAGAGCTAGAAAAGCGATAGTCAAAATTACGAGAAATAACACGAGATTATTTACAGAATCGAGTACGGAAAGCGAAAAGTTTAGGAAGAATAGAAGAAAGATAGATTCGACGCCGAACTTCTGACGGAGCGAGTCCAAAGACACGGCTCAGTGCGCCTAGCTTGCGTCGACAAGCAAGAGCAATGTCTCTGGCATGTTCACTCCACCTAAGATCGTGCGAAACAAGAACTCCGAGACAACGAATAGAAAACACAACGGAAAGAGGAACTTTATTAAGACACAGCTGATTGTAAACAAACGGGAAAGGATCGAAACTAAAAGGAAGCCAAGAACATTTAGACACATTGAGAGACATGAGATTAGAAGTAGACCAATTTGAGACAGAATTTATACAGGTTTGAACATGAGAGAAATTAAAAGGATCCGAGGGACAAAGAGGTACAATTAAAAAGACATCATCCGCAAAAAGACAGATTTCACAATTATATGGAAGAGAAAGAGGCAAGTCATTAATAAAAATAAGAAATAAAAGCGGATACAAGCACAAATACAAGCACGAATACAAGCACACTGCCTTGAGGTACGCCAGAAGAAACAGGAGAAGGAGAGGAGATAAACTCAATCACACGCACACACTGTAAACGATTGGAGAGGTAAGATGACAAGAGAGAGAGAGTAAACAGTCATTCACACCACAACACGACAATTTTTTTAACAGAAAAGAGTGAGAGACAGAGTCAAACGCTTTAAAGAAATCAAAAGACACACCAACACACTTTACACCAGCATTCCAGAAGTTAGAAACAGTAGAAGACAGAAATAACAAGGCGTCAAGAGTAGAGTGTTTAGGGCGAAAACCGAATTGTTTATTTGCAAAGAAGAAATGCTTAGTGAGATGAGAAAAAATAAAATTATAAATTAAACACTCAAATACTTTAGAAAGAAGAGAAACCGGACGGTAGCTAGAAATACCAGCAAGAGTACCTTTTTTATGAATAGGAACAACGTGTGCAATTTTCTATTGGGCAGGAAAACTGCAAAAAGAGAGACACAGATGGAAGATGAAATGAAGATGAGGTGAAAGGATGTCAGCACACGAAGAGAGAAAGGAAGAGGGGAGGGGATTCCATCAATACCAACAGTAGACTTTTTATTGAACTTCCGGAGTAGATTTTCGACATCACGCACGGAGAAGTCGAGCTTTTTATCCATCTTTGGCAAGTCTACAGTGGCAGAGAGAGGAATTTGACCCTGAAGAGAAGAATAGCAAGAAGAAAGATGAGAGTTGAAGAGTTTAGCTTTATCCGTGTCTGTAGAAACAGATTTGGAGCCTAGGAACATAGACTGAGGAAGAGAAGAGTGAGAAGAAGACAGTTTTTTTATAGAGCTCCAAAACTTGCGAGGATCCGAAAATAAAGAAGACTGTTTCACTGTTTCTCACCTATCCCGACTGCGAACGTCGACCAAAGGGAGGCGTGAGCATTGTTTTGAATTAAAAAATATTTTTAGACCTGCGGGATACTTTGGAGGGTCTCGAGAAAACTTTTAGAATTCTATTAAATTACGAAGCTTATGCATTAAATCACAGAAAAATTCATATTATATTTCGGATAGTGCCTAGGGAACACCGATGAAAGGGAGGTGGAAGCGATGTCTTTGATTCGAAGTGATGGACGGTCGTTCACAGATATAAATTCCTAAAGTCAAGACACCGAGCGAGTGTAGACAAGCGTTACCTTGTGTTTTATGTATGAGAATAAAGAATACAATAGTTTATCCTTAATATCCCTTATTTGGTAGGAAAAAGGATTTGTTTAACAAAAAAAAACAATCGAAACATTTTAAGTAAACGAACTGTTGCGTATAGGTACAGTATATGGAATGAAAGTAGCTTGAATAGGACGTCGCTCACTTAAGTCATCCTTTTATTTCAATTGGTACTTGTAAATGAAAGAAGGCAGAGGCACAAAATACGTGATAATGGCGATATTTTCACTGTACGACGATTTCAATGCAGCTTATCTCAATCAACTTCGATGCAAACGGATAATTTGGATGGTTTAGAGTACGTCTTTTAGTTTAAAGAAAGTTTAGATTTTGGCGGAAATAAATTCATCTATCACTCTCTCTTCATGATCTGCCTCGTCTATTTATTCGAAAAGTACCATGTTGTTAATATAACATGAGCCCAGCTTTGCGTTAGTTTGAGTGATGGATCTATATCTTGTAGTTTACAGAAACGGGTTCTTCTACAGATCGACCACCTCCCTAGTGCTAAAAGTGAGCGGCGGTGAGGGTGAGTGGTGGTAGTGGTAGGGAGGCGATCGATCTGTAGAAGTATCCAGAAACGTTTAGAAGAGTTTGTATCATGGAAGCTTTGTCAATATGCGATCTTTGAACTGTTCTATTTCTATGACAATAACACTTTTGGTTTGTTTATCTTCTGTAGAATTTTCAATTCATGAATTTGACCTTTTTACGAATTATTTCAAAAGCTAGTAAAGAAATATGTGTAACGCCAAAAAGATACGTTGTTCACTTTACATACGTGAAAGATCAACCAGATGCATCTCTAGGTAAAGAAAATATTTACATTGAATGGAATGAATAATGAGCATTTTTTCCGTTTAGGCCTAACAAAAGAGATGAATCTATGTCAGGCTGTTCAAAATTCTATAGATTTGACCCTTGCAAATGATCATACATCCAGTATACTTGCAAAAAATGTTATTTATTCAAAGAACCGTGCTAGTTTTTTCGTCTGTTTCTAGTTGCGTTTGGAGAAGACGTTGCATTTGGTGGAGTATTTCGTTGTACAGTAGATTTAAGACAAAAATATGGTATGGCTTGAAGAGTTGTCCTCGCTCACATAAAAAGACGCTCACGGATTTGATGTTTCTTTAATAACTGAAAATGCTTTTATACTCATGTTTTTAGGGGCCGATCGTGTATTTAACACTCCATTATCAGAGCAAGGAATAGTTGGCTTCGGAATCGGATGTGCTGTCGCTGGTGCAACAGCAATCGCTGAAATTCAATTTGCAGATTACATATTTCCGGCCTACGATCAAGTGAGTTACAAATGATGTTGCATTCTTTCGTAAAAACTCTCTCTTGTTGTTATTCAGATTGTGAATGAAGCATCAAAATATCGATATCGTTCCGGAAATTTATTTGACTGTGGTCGGTTAACGATTCGTGCACCTTGGGGAGCAGTTGGCCATGGTGGTCTCTACCATTCACAATCACCCGAAGCACAATTTCTTCATACACCGGGCATTAAAGTATGCAAAAATATAGCCTGTATGCGTAAATTTGAGTAAAATTATAATGACTATTAGGTTGTTATTCCTCGTGGTGCAATTCAAGCAAAAGGATTACTACTATCATGTATTAAAGATGATAATCCATGTATATTTTTTGAGCCAAAGATTTTATATCGATCAGCAAAAGAAAATGTACCAATCAAAGATTATACAATTCCATTATCGAAAGCAGAAGTATTGACAGAAGGTAATTGGATACTAAACTGAATCTTACTTTTTAGCATTTGTTCTTTTACCACCGATTTAGGCACTGATATAACAATGGTGACGTGGGGCACTCAAGTGCACGTGTTGCATGAAGTTGTACAAATGGCTGCTAAAGAAAATATATCGTGCGAACTTATTGATTTGCGAACAATCGTACCCTGGGATGTAGATACAGTGTGTAAATCAGTAGTGAAAACTGGAAAATTATTAATTAGTCATGAAGCCCCAATAACAGGTGGAGTGGGTGCAGAGATAGCAGCGACTGTTATGGTAAGGTTCTCTACTTCAAAATTTTTTTTTATTAAACTTCTTTCGTGTGTTCCTTTTTTTTTAGAAAGAATGTTTTCTTAACTTGGAAGCACCCATCGAACGTATATGCGGCTATGATGTTCATCCAATACCTCACACATATGAGACATTTTATATTCCAAGTAAATGGAAATGTTTTGATGGTGTTAAACGTTTAATGGCATACTAAATGAGAATAATTTTGTTGTGTTTTGTTTCTTGCATATGTATGTGAGTACCAAGGTGTTTGTTTTTTGTCAAATGCTTAACTTTTTTCCCATACATATTTGCGTTTTGCGTTGTTGTTTTTTATACTATATTAATGAGTGTCTGTTTTACATTTTATATCAAACAAATTCTATTTTTTATTTCTAAGAAAATAAATGCCATCCTTATAATAAGGAACAAGCAGCAGACATAATTTTGAAAAGGGACGATTCCATTCAGAGAACAGTGAGGAATGTCACTTCTCTCGTTTAAAATTAGTCCAAAAAATTAATGAGTGATATTCATCACAATTCAGTCAATAAAGAATACGTTCGAAAAATTCAAGTTTTTTGCCACCAAACTGATAATATATTTTTACACTACTGTATACGTATATTATAAAAAGAATGAAAAAAATTTGATTTCGCGTCTCTTTATGAAGATATTTAAATTGAAAATGTTATACAATCAGATCTACCTCAGGTGTTGTCTTAATTGCAGCCCAAATCAAACAATCTTACAGGATTCTACCTTAGGATGCTACGAAAATCTTGTAGGTTTTGTAGAAACACATCAAAGTCAAAAAATTCTATTGTAAGATTCTTATAGGATCCTGTAGTCACATCTGCTTCGTTCTTTGTTGCTGAAATCGAGAACATGATGTCAAGACAGTAGAGTTATGGAACATTGACCTGTATCCGATCCAAAGTTAAAGTTCTTTTATTGTTTTGACTTTTATACATTTGTATTCCT